ACTGACTTTTTATTTACTTCACATTGTCTCATTCATGTAACGTTTGCTCCTTTAATTGTTGTGTATTTGTATATAGACGGCTATTTCGCGATTTTCGGCAATATGGATATTTATTTTGAGGAAATTTCCTATACTGATTAATAATATTAAAGAGATAACTAAATTTACTGTGGGTTTTGAAAATAATGACAGGTTGCTTGCCATTTTTAATAAAGAATCAATCAACTGGATCAGGATGCATATAGGAAATAAAAAAATGTCAGTTTCCTTAGTCTATATTCTAATCATATTTATAGGATTAAAGTATGAGTTACTAAATTATATTATCTGATTCATTTTTTTGACATCCAAGAAAACTAAGAATTCGATTTGTCTTCAAGGCTATCTATTCCAAATGCAAGGTCAATGAGGCCAATACAAATCAGTGACAAAATTGAATTATTACCTTACTTTATTAGCAGTGTCTGGATCATCAAATTGACTTATGAGGACCATCTGACTTAAGTTACTTCTTGTGATAATCTCATGCATATCATTTAGTTTAATCTTAACATATTACATTAATTGTCAGACAGGAATTTTCTAAAATTTTCATTTTTTTTCACGGTATTTATGGATGCATGATAATGTAAATTTTTTTCATAGGTTTAATCTTATTTTTTTCCAACACAGTCTCGTCATCTAGATGCTATGTACTACTACATGCGAACTCTAGCTGCTACCAATCCCTTTCCAACTGCTTCGCAGAGCCTGTCTGCCCTTTTCGGTGAGATGCGAGGCCGAGCAGAACGTGCGCTTTTGGCCAGTCAGCGGGTGAGTTTATTTAATTTTTTTGATCAGATAAATCTTCAGCCAAAGTCGTTGTTTTAACTTTAAAATTACTTTTTTTATCATTTTGTTTTTTTTATTATGCACATAACTTTTGGCTAGGACTCGGATTCCTCAAACTCCCACGGTAGCAACAATCGGGGTTCTGTATTCTCCAGCTTCCTGCCAACTTGCCGCCCTGGACCGCCTGGAATCTGTTCTCGGTACCGACGTGCAGAGGTCTGGATCCATCCAATTGACGGCGCTGTCACACTTGTACAAGGCAATCGCAGCCTCTCTTTAGCAGCTAGAGCAGCTGCTGCTGCGGCCGATGTCCCGAAACGCCGAGGCTGTAGCGCTAGCTCTACGTCTGTTAAGACTCATCGTTCTCAAATGCCAGTATCAAATGCCTCTCCAGTTACGGGCCGAAGACGTCTAGAGAGAGGCATTTCGGGCAAACAGGCGGCTGGACGACCTGATGTGGGTTCACTGAATAGTGCGGCCTCAGGACGCGCTGAACCCGGATCGGAGGATGGGGTTGCTGAGGATGATGAAGATGATGACGAAGAGGAAGAGGATAATGAGGAATATGATGAAGATGCTCAGGCAGAGGCAGAAGAATACGCTAACAACTCATTGATTCAGGTATTTTATATAATGATCTCCATATTTGAGGCATTAATTTTTTGGTGGATTATGCCCTAAAAGTTTTAACTTTGACACAGTCATTAACATTTGTAGTCGATGTAGATTTTTAAGATAGGGTTATTAACTGCGCATTTATGTTTTTCAAGGCTAATTTAAGATCAATGGATTTGGTCATTCTATTTATCTTTCTTTCTAGAAATGACAGTTGGCCTGGAAATAGAGAAGGAAAATGCTAAAAGCTTCTAAAAAAACAATACACGATTTGAATAAAAGCTAGCTTTCGAAGACTCTTTATGGAGTGATATTGACATGCCATTTATTTCGTTTGAAGAAGCGAGTGGAAGTGATTCGTAAATTGGTATCTCCGAAAACCGAAGAATAATTGCACGAAATGATTCTACGAGCTATTTCGTTCAAGCTGATGAAGGACTGGTAATTGAATTACCCCATAATGATATGATTTGGCCTTATATTTACATTAGATTTTACGTATTCTGCCTTCCCTAAAGGTATTCTTATTCAGGGTGCACTTTTGTTCCGACTTCGCCTAGGTCTCAACACCCCTAGCTGGACTCGAACTCTGGTAGTGCAGCGTGTGATCTCGACACGTTAACCTCACTAATACTACTACGAGAGCCTTTGGGTCGCAGGACAGACGTGAATTTTAATGAAGCCTTGGTCTTTCCCATATCACATTTTTGTGGTAGGATTGTTGACGGAACAATGTTGTATTTTCTAGAACAATCGACTACACTAATTTTTTCGTTTCATAAGTAGGTCTGTTATAAGAGTTGTCTTCATTCAATTTCGTTTAATGTTGTGAAGGCCTGGTAGTTAAAACTAAAACTAAATAATCTAGTATGTTTATATCACAAACAAAACTTAGCTTTATTGACAATCCTACCACAGAGATGTGATATAGGAAAGGCCTAGGCTTCCTTGAAATTCACTTCTGCTTTATGATTGAAGGGTGCTTGTGGTAGTATGGCGTATTGGTTTGAGATTCATCTACCAGTCATTCATCTCCTTATACGAAATAGGGTAAACATAATTATTATTTAAGGATTTTATTCATTATTCTTTATTTTTCCAACGTGCATGCTGAAAACAGCAGTGGTTATGAATGACGCATGGATTAGATGCAATTGCTATCGAACAGCTGCTGTAGACAGAAAACTAGGGAGTCAATAGAAACCAACAAAGCAACCAATACCCTGAATAAAAGAAACGAGTGTAGAAATTTATTATTAACCTATTCATTGCTGTTGGATAGGATGGAAAAGAGAGGAAATAAAAAAATACCCCTGAACATGAGAAGGCTTGCTTAAACTCCAATCTAGCTCGTATTCTTACTCTCTCACTAGTGGTGAGCATTACATGCATTAACGCATGTGCAATGTAACACAATTATTTGTGTCAATTTTGCAGGATCCAAATTGTGAGTGATTTAGGAGAGGATGCAATTGTTCTGTTTCAATTTTCTTTACTTCATGCGTCATTCCCTCTGCAAGCACGTAAGGAAGGCATAGAATAAACAATCAAATAGTGATATGTCTCATGCTAACAACATAAGTAGTAGGATTGCAGTCAGTCAACTTTCTTGTCTTGGTGACTTATCCTGAAGACTTATTCGCTTCATGTGAGGGTAATTTACGAATATCTTCCACTCGCTTTTTCAAACGAAATTAATGGTTCGCCGACATCTAAAGAATTGTTTCTTTACTATTAATGTAACAAGCTTGTCAGCCATTTAACTATTACTGCTTATAGATACGAAAAAAACTGGGTTTCGATGAATCTCCTGAGATAACATTGTTAAGGGGACTTTATAATTCGAATTTTAACCTTTTTTAACGCCAACTTATTCTGTAGGGGCACTTGTATATAATGTTGATGGCTATGAGTTCGATCGATTATCAAGTATGAAAGAATAAGCAGTAATATTATTTGGGGACTTCCGTTTCGTATGAAAAAGCATGAAGAAGAGATTCGTTTTCACTCGAAACGAGGGAGGTCTCGTAGCTTGCGTCAACCTGAACGTCTTATAAAATCCAAACGGCCGCAGTACAACTGGAATCATCCGTCTTCTTATGGTGAGATCGACCTACGAATCTCTTCTTCATGCACTTTCATACGAAATGGAAGTCCCCCAAAAATATTACTGCTTATTTTTTCATACTTGACAACAGATCGAACTCATAGCCATTAAAATTATATACAAGTGCCCCTACAGAACAAGTTGTAGCTAAAATAAGTTAAAATTCGAATTATAAAATTAATGTAAAGACTATCTCACATACTAAAATTTTATATTTTTCCTCTTTGCCATGTGAGAAAAAAATTTATATCTATAAATTATTTCTCAGTAAAGTCTTAATCCTTCCTTTTTGATAACCTGAGTTGTATTATGATTAAACAGACACCAATTGTGAAAATATTTTTTTGATGTTAAAAAATGATGTATTAGTCCGCTTGCTCCACTTTTAGGTATATAACTGTTATCAGGTTCAAGTATGCTTAAAACGAATTTAGCTTTTTAAAATCCTCTCTTATTATGTAATTGTTATCATTTTTCTTCTTTTAAAGCAGTAAAGGGCCTGAATTTTGAGTGTTACTCTTTTCTTTATTTCTTATGATTATATATTTATTCTTTCGATTTGACATTACTTAGCTACATGCATTTCACTGTTTGACATTGACCAAATCGGTCATTTTCATAATTAGCCTGCATACCTTCAGCTAGCTGAAATTGTTCTATGTGAACTCCTTTAGCCTGAACATATGCATAATATTTCTTGGGCTTAGTCATTTTGCATCCAATGGCAAACCCCTTAAATAATAATTGTTATTATCCTGTACCCTTTTCAATCTACTTATCAAAATTTTATTTTAATCCGATTGATTAACTTATGTTTTCATATTCTTTATAATTGTTAAATATTTTGATAAATGTTTGCTCGAAATTGCCGACCTACGAAGTTCTTTAAATTAGTCGAATACCCAATATTTATGTAATTTTTATTTTTAGTTTTAGTTTTAATTATGAAATTGGAATTTCTAATGAGTTATTTGTCCAAGTTGCATGGATTCAGCCCACAATTTTTTTACTAATTCCTTTGACGCCTTATTTTTCTTCAAACATTTCTTTAGGATTTCACCATCTTATTTTAATATCCGAATTATGAACAAATTACAGAGTCTTCTGTGACACTCAGATTATTCCATTTACATATTTCTCACAATCCACAATATTTCTGCGGTAACGATTTCAACTTAGTAATTTCTTCAATTGATTACAATTTCTCCCATTAGCATATTCACTCCATACTGTTAAAATATGATGCCTCGTTTGGTTACTTAGGTTATTGTGTGCCCTCCCTTATGAATATAGATCTTACATATTTGGTCTAGTAGTTAAGCCTAGAACTAACAAATGGGCATAACATTGCGTTTGCAATTATTACAATAGCTTACTTGAATCGAAGCATCTTCATGGAAGGAGCCAGATAATGGGACGCCTTTAAATCAGGTATTTAATATGATGGACTATTGACATTCACTATTATATTTGGGGCCCAAAGTGCCAATCGCTATGCAGTCGCATGCATTAGTCTTCTTGAGTATTTTTCGATCTGTTAAAAAGATGCTTCACAACTATAATTCTTTTGTATTACCTGGCTTCTGCAACTTGGTCATATTTTAAGATTGACCTAAAAAAAACTTCACTTCTATACGGTTCTCTGTCATTCAAGTCATGTAACTTTAAGGCCACTGGTAACACGGCAAAGTTATAAAAAATGTCGGACACATCGTATACAGAGATCAAACTAGAGGCTACCTTTTATTAATCTTCATACTTACGATGATTTATGCTTTTTGATTCTCTGATTATATTCTTAAATTAAAACATCTGAAATGAATTTTTCCTTTTAACATGTCTTTTTCTTTAGGGAGTTTTCAGGTCCTATGATTGCAGAAATTGTCCTAAGAAGTGCTTGATTTTTTAACTTCATAAAACCATATAACCTGACGTTATGCACTTATTTGTTTTATATTTTATCTATATATTTATATTTGTGTATACCTCTCTCTATAAGTCCTGATTGTAATC